CAGATAGCTGCAGAACGGGTGTGGAAARTGTGATTCAKTGCYTGGAATGGGGTTTGTGTCTGATCCCCACTTCTCCCTTGGGATTCTGGTTAACACGGACCACATGCTACTGGAGGGAAGAGGTGCAGATGGCTTGGTACAGATAAGTGGGCAAATTCTTATGCAGTCGGCAGAAGCTGACATGAATCGCAGCCAYTCTCTTTGTACATGGCAATGTGTTCATCCACAGAATCCAAGAATGGCAGATCAGAGATTGCTGAGTAGATTAACTCAGGCAAAACTCCAGACAAGCGCTTGCTGAGTCTGAAAATGATGCATGGGTTGGAGTGCAAGAAATAACACGTTGTTTTCTGCATATYGTTCTCAGGCTGTGCTATTCCCCAGTCTAGGCTTTTACATCATKAACTTTTTAGTCTGGCCACAGTACTGCTTTAAAAAGCCCAGATCCCACGTACAGTTTTTTTTCAATTTTCCCCCTGAACAAAGGAAAAGCCAAGGCTCTTCTTGTAGAGACAGTAAGAAGCACGGTTTTGTCCACCTAGCTAAAGAATCAGAATCACTTAGTAAATTCTGGAATCTAGAAACTACTTAGATGCATGCAGTTTTGAAAGGAGGCAAAGAGTGCTAGAAATGGATAGCACTGAGAGGCAGAGAACCTCAGAACCTCAAATATTTGGCAGGAGAACCCCCATTGCTCTCTGGAGCGCAGTCCCCCAGGGCATGGTCAGGTACCTCGTGTTATGGGCAGGGAGCTTGTAACACACATTCACAAAGACACTTACCCAGCTAACATAGATGGTTGATTTTTTTTTTCTGTGCTGAGGCCCTGGAGTRGAACAGAGTGTGTCATTCCAGGCACTGCTAGTAGGGACCTCTGAGGCTCCCCTGGCTCCACAGGTCCAGTGATTCTGCCCTGATCTATTTTAAGTTGTGCAGCTGTTCACCACAGTCATTGCACTCAAGTTCTYCTGTGACTAACTCTGGCCAGGGGTCCTTTTTTGAATAAGCAAAGTGCTCCTCTGTGCTCTTACTCTAGTTGCTGAAAATGAAGGCAAACTGGCATCTCAGGCACACAACTGTGAGTCTGCCAGCATCCAAATAAAAKTAAGCACATCTATGAAGGAGGTAGTAATATGCATAGATAGGAACTATTCTAGGACAATGACTTTTGAGATAGCAAATGTATAAAGGGGTAAAGGAATAGACTAGTAGAAATAGGAATCAGTGGAAGGTGTCTCTGAAGGAAGTGCAGTCAGAAAGGGATGTGGACAGCTGAACTCCCCCAAAACTGAACCTGATTCAAAAACATTTAAAAGTAAATGAGGAAGTAATAGAAATCTTGTGAACGACCTGCTGCTTTGTGTTGTAGTGACAAGGCATTTTTAGTTGAGCGGTGTATGACTTAAAATCAACTTTGTTTTCTTGTGGAGTCATAACCTTTTTTAGACACACAGTGAAACTTCTGCTACTCCTTTCTTTCTGGACAAGCATTTTTCCTCTGCTGTTGCTTTTTCTGTCAATCCTGAATAATCAAAAAATCTGTATGATTTTTTGCCCCTTTCATAAAGTTTCTTACTTGAAAACTGGAATTTTGAAAGGCATTCTTTACTGAAATGTATTGAGATTTCTGCTCATTCAGGAGTGTATTTAGCATACCTAAAGCTCCAGAGGAATTGGCTTAAATAACTTAATTTTTATGCATCTGTGGTGTTTGCAGTCTTTATATAAAGCTCCATTGCCATGTCAACCAGTTCAGATGGTAACAGGGTCATCCCAYTGCACCAAGTACCCTTTGTAAAGTCATATACTTTCTCTGGTGTCAGGCTGTGCTAACTGACCTCTATTTTCTTTCACAAAGGCTACTGCCTAGGTGGTGGCATTGATTAAGCCACACATCTATGCAGAGTCAAAATAGGAGGCACTGAAACCCCCCCTCCTACACATTTCCAGATCAGTGCATATTTCAGGTGTCATTCACTGGTGACTTTAGGCTAATTGTAGGCCACTGCTGAAATAGCACCTCACTGAAGGCTCCATCTGGYTGTGGCTGCCACTATTCAGATGTTGGCATTAACATGGGGAACTGGATTAGGGCACTAATCAGATCAGGAAAACTAACTCAGCAAAAGAAAAATCCTTGTACTATCCAGTCAAATAATCTACATTCTAAAATAATTTCTAGCAGTCAGGATTCAGTAGAGAACCACTAATCTCTTGGGTGGCATGAAGCCTCTTTTGGTGTCCTTGTACACTTGTTTGCTCTTCCTCTTTGTCTGTTTACCTTGTGTCTTAGATTATGGGCTCCTCAGGGCAAGAACCATCTCCCACTGTGTTTGCATTGTGTGCTATAAACATAGGGGAAATGAGATCCAATGATTATAACCCAGGATAATAACTTGTATTAGCTGATAGAATATCTTACAGACCAAATCTTACCTTGACATTAAAAGTTCTGTGCTTRGAGTCTCATATAGTTGGAATTGAGGTCCTAGTTCCTCAGCTGTTCTAAAGCTGAATATTGCAGTAACAGTTAAAAATACAGGCTTGACTGTCCCTTTACTTACACTATTTATAGCAAATCCTAAGTATGTATTAACATGGGTGCTGTTCCATCAATGTGACTGAAAGACAGATGAAGCTGAAATTTTTAAAGCAGCAAAAAAAAAATCACACAGGTAAGGTGAGTTAACGATGAAGAGAGAAATGGCTTTTAGTACAGCTGTAGTTCCAAATCCTGTGAGACATTTAAGCATATATTAATGTTGTGCCTATTTATTCATACATGATAYGAGAAATGTTTAAGAGAAATTATTYAGTRGCTGGCATTTTRTAGAAGGATAAGGACTTAAAACATTTTTCCCCCCCTTTTAGCTATACCAGTAGAAACTGCCAAACAAAATGCAAACGTTGCTTTGGTTCTGACTTCGTGCGGAGGCCATATCGGKTTTCTGGAAGGAATATGGCCAAGGAAGTGCACTTACATGGACAGAGTCTTCAAGCAGTTTGTTCAAGCTGTGTTTGAGCATGGAAATAAAATCTTTAGCATGTAGCTTTGGACCACTATTATAGCACAGTGGCACATTCTGACAAGGGCAGTTAAGCTTAGTGCACAAATTTTAACTCCTGTAAGCCAGCAAATGGATAAAGTCCATTACTACATGCAAAAATATTTTTGCCTAAGATTTTGTAGCAAGAAACTAAATATTATGTTGTCACTTTTATATTTATTTTTAATATGCCTTACTAAGAATGACCTTAAATGAAACAGTGTTCTGCATACATCAAATTGCACTTAACCAAAACTATCAAGTAGAGAGATTATAATTCCTCAGGATTTTAATTTAAATCAGTATSTATTTAGGAGACTTTATTTAGATGGCTTTTACTATTACAATGGCGACACTCAAAATAGCTTATATTATCCTATCACATATAGTACCAGTTGGCCCATTCCTTAGGGCCTTGATGGTGAAAATCTTGAAATACAAGAACAAAAGGAGGGATAAAAAAAAACCTACTGATTCTTCAAATAAGTCAACATTTCAGCATGTTATTCCATAGCATTAGATTGGTACCTGCTTTTGCTGTTCTGCCCTGASAGTATTCAGATTTAGGGCCGGTTATTGTTTTTTAAACTATGTCAATGCCATACTTGTCTTACATGGTTATTTTTTAAAGAGCTGATTTATAGTGTTTACATATAACCAAAAGATTCCTTTAAAACAGTACTGTAATAACTTATGTAATTAAAAGACATTTTGCATTTCAGAGTTTATGTAAAGCTGGGTGTTGTCACATAAGTAACACATACTTCATATAACTGGTAAACTTGGTGACTGAACCTGCTGTGTTTATATTACCCTGCAAGAATATTTCAGTTTTAAAGAATAAATATTAGAGCATCAGGAAATTATTATATAATCTGCTTTAAATTAAACAAAACCCCAAATTCAAACCTTTTGTCTCTGCTATTGTTTCATATAATTTCTTAAAGGAATGCAGCAAACTGTTTAAAGAAAGTTGGGATGGAGGTCAGAGTCCTCTGGTTTRTTTATTTGATCATTTGTCAGCATTTTGGCAGTAGGCTGTCAAATCTCTGAAGCCACTGCAAAGCAACTTCTGCCCTAGTGGCTTATGAGTTGTGAGAGTGGCCGAGGCATTGCTGTTCTCCTGAGCCCTGACACAGACTGAYAGTGTGGGCCTTTGAGGAGAAAGGACAGTTGGACAGAATATATTTTGAAACTGCTGGAAAGCCCTTATTTAGGGCATGCTGAAATTTAAAACAGGCCCTTAAGCAGCATCTGTGGAGCTCCTACCTTCTGCTGATCACTGATTTGGGCCCAGCCACATAAGTCAGTAAAGATGCCTCTGCATTTTTATTTTTATCTTTGAGCGGGGTCAGTACAAGAAGAAAATGCAGCTAAAAAAAGCAAGTCAGGTCTTTTGTCTCAAGCAGTACGTGAACACTCCTCTTGCAAGGCATGTTTCCTAGTAACAGCAAAGGAAGAACAAAAATACTTTTTGTCCTTAGAAAAAGAAATTGGGACATACTATACGAAAGCTGTTTTGTAAGGTGGATGGTTGAATTAAGAAAATTAAAAAGTGCTTTCAAGTTTTGACTTTTCAAACAGGCACTTGCCCAAATAATGAACTCTTAACTTATTTTTTCTCTAATAAGAAAWATAAGAAAAGTGACTTGCAAAAGAAGAATGAAATTCTGTGCATGCTACTACAATACAGGAAATCAGTATATTAGTAGGGTGCCTTATTTATTCTTGCAGTCATTTCCATATTTTATGTTAATGCAAAAACAATGAGCAATAAAGAGTGTATTTAGTGTTATATTTGTAAATTGTTTAGGTACAGTACTGTTCAAAACTCAGCATCAAGTATTAATAAAGATAAAACCACTTACATTAAATCACACCTTACCATTTAAATAAAAGTAATATGATTAAYGTCAGAATTTCTGTCTYTCTGCACTGTCTTACTTCATTTAGGTCCAATCCTATATATAAATGTCCATGAGACATCTTTAAAGCTACATCAAGCAAAAATCCATTAAGCTGGGGCTTCCCCCCCACCACCGATGTACAGTGTTTTTCCTTATACCCCATCAGGGAAAATGCATTGTTCAAAACACAGTGTACAAGGTGGTAACAATCAAATTTTACTATGGCTATCTTCATGCTTTCCGGTCAGATTTTCTGAAACCAAAAATGCAGACATTTACCTCCGATCTTACAGGGTACACACAAAATGCYATAAACATTTTTGCTGTGTATTAACTTTGTACCTCACACAGAGTTTCACAAGTGAGCCAAAGTCCACAATGTGCCCTCTATTCAAAGCAGTGTGAATTCACAGAGTCTTTATTTGGCTTTTCATGTGATCTGAATATCCAGGCATCAGCAGGGATATGTAATGCTGAAGGTGGGAAAAAGTTGTTAGTTATCAATGTACTCATTACTGGGAAGGTGGAATAGAATGAAAATGAAATTCTAAGCCACAAACACTGCAGACACCTACCTCTTCAAGAAAACTTCCTTCCTAGTTCAGAATCCCGTAGTAGCTGAACTCAGCAGGGTCCTCTAGAGATTGTCAAGTGCAACCCTCCTGCCCAAAAAAGGAGATAACACATACATGCTTCAGAACATCCACGTCTTCTCACTTTACCCTTGGTGTCAATGCATGGTACAGTTCTTTTAATCTGTGAGGCCTTCAGTCACTCAAGAGCTGTTTGTGATCTTCTCAGCTGTCTTACAACCAGATGAAAAAGACCAAGATTTTAAGGTGTAAATTACCATGTCCACTCCTCGCAAGAAAAAAAAAAAAAAAGAAAATAAAAGAAAATAAACCTGAAAATTTCCATTATACAATATGGTTCTTTGAATAAAGAGAAACTAACCCAGACTGTACATTTTACACTGAACAGACCAATTAATGCTCTTTTTAGAAACCAAGACATGTAACAGCACCATTTAAAATATGTAGCAGAAAGGGCTGTGGACAACAGTCTACAACTCCATGGAAGCTGGTATGCCAGTAAAGCAGCAGTGACYCCAAGCACATCAACATGGTCCTGTCATTGCAGCACTGAGTGTCACACRTCACATACCAACACACTGACTGCTGCAGAGTTCAGTCACTCCAAGGCTCTAACTTACCATTATAGAGATTGGGAAAAGGCTCCACATTCAAGAATTATTCCCCAGTTGTGGTTCAGGAAGCTTCTCCTTCTCTTCTGTGCTGCAAGTTGCAATTTCCAGCTGAAATGTAAGTCAACTTTGTGAGTCCTTCAAGTCAACCGAATGGAGCAGCTTACTTTATCTCAGCAGTTCCCAAATGTTTCGGACAAAAGCCTCCTCCCCTTTTTTTTCTGTAATGGTCTGGATCCCTGTGTACTGCTCACACATCTATCCACTCTCTGGCCTGGAACCAAATCTCTAAACTGGCTGCCAGCCTTCCCTCCAGATGCAGCTATCTGCAGTCCTTTTTATCCCTGTTCCCCTCTTCCCCTGAAAAAATGCCAACAAACTCATACTCAGCATGCAAGCAAAGTGGGTAAATCCAAGCCCAGTTTTTTTTCCTGCCTCCCTACAAAAAGAAAAACATTAAARCAACTGTTCAAATTCTACCTCCCCCCATTTTGAACATGGCCCCCTGCTTTTTCAGCTAATTGCCCTGAAAAGCTCTTAATTCCAGGCAGTCAGGGCACTCTCCAATCGCTGTTGCCCCACATGCCATCTACACAGAAATTTCGGAGGGGAACTGCCTCTTTCAGCTACAACTGCTATAGCTACATAGCTCATGCCAATTTTTTTTTACAACTGCTAGAAAGAAGACTTTTAGCCCTGCACTCTACTCCTCCCCAGGTTGATTCAGTTCAATGCATCATCACCTTGAGGGGGAAAAAAAAGTTTGTTCCCTGAGCCATCAAATTGCTGTAACACGCACGACTTTCAACTTGTGCCACTTGCTGGGGGTCTCATCCCAGCAAGCCAGCTGGTCAAAAAGAGCCTTGGAATGCTCTACACAATGAACAGAAAGAGGAAGGTATAAAAAAGCCCAAGAGATTCTCCCTGGGGACRTGCCACTGACCTCCAGCATACATACTGGGTCCCCCCAAGTAACTCCTGCTGCAGCCAATCTGCTGTGGAATATCTCAGGCACGTTTTGGGTTTGTTTTTGTTGGTGATTTTCCTTCCAGCAGAAGGAAAAATCCGCCAGACAGTGGTCCTTCATTGATAACTATCTTTYCCTCTGAAGGATCCAATTTTGCTGTCTCATTCCTTCTACTACAGATGCAAAAATCAGCCTCTCCCTTCTTCCTAGGACAGAGGGACTTTTTGAATCTGCTGAAGGGAGGGAAATCGGGCCCCTGTGCTGTCTCAGCTGCTCCTCCGGTTCCTTAACGGTTCTGTCTATGGAGTGATTAGAAAGCCACTGGTTTAAATGAGCTTCCCATGTGGCCTTTACCTCACCTGTCTGAGGCATTCTGAGGCGCGAGCACTGCTTGCAAGGTTAATTACCGGTGAAGGGTTAAGCAGCTCCTGCCTCTTGGTTGTCTGTCATCACTTCGTTKCTCAGATGGGATGTCTGATAAGCAGCAGGGCAGGCTGGGAGTGTGTTTGTCTGTCAAAGGAGACAGTAAGATCTGCGTGCTGACAGGACCGCTGGGACTGAGTTTGGGATCAAGAGCTCAAGCCTGTAACTACGTAGCCCGCCCTAAGGCTGCAGTTTCACAAGCAGCTGTCAATGTTAACAGCTCCCTCATGCCAAAAGGGGAAGGCTTGCACTTCCTCCTCCCCTGCCTTTTCTTATTCTCCTGATTCCAGTCATATGTCYGCAGCCTTTCTTACTCTGGTAGAATATGATTCAGTTTTTCCACTGGGTTATTTTTTTTTGCTAGCTCAGGAAGTTAAATTTGCTTGTCTGTGGGGGTCCCTCAGGTGCTAGATGGAGGCTGGCATGAGGTAAGGAGCTGGAGAACATTGCTGGTAGTGGGGAAAGGAAGTGGAGAAAATAATATAAGCTTCCYCTTTTTGATGAGAGTCATCTCCCAAAGCTGTAGCCCAGCAGGGTACTCGCTGCAATTTGTGGAGTGATCCATTATCAGCTGAGTTACTCTGTGAAAAAAAAAAAAAAAGACATCACCTAGAAACAAGTAATTTTTCATTTGGCTGCAGACAAGAGGCACTCCAGCAGTATTACCGCAGTGGTAAACGAGGCTGATTCACAAAGAATCCTTTCGGGGTTAAATCTGGCCTATCCACATACTCCACCTATGTGAATGCAGTTTCTTCTTATTTCCCAGGTTCCCCAGTTCTGCAATAATTCATGYSCAAGCACTCCTGTTTACATTCACCACTTCTTTACACAAATTCTGAGGAAATTTGTGTAAAGTTTATGTTCTTTAAACAGTAACATTTGGAAGCAAGTTCACACTGACATCAGTGCTTCAAAATGCTGCCACCTTCTGTAGAAAACTGGAAAATTACTGGTATTCTTCTATCCCATGAACTAAGTTTTTCCAAATTTTCGAGCTGAATGCTTTATAAGAATGCCTGCTACTTTACTTCTTCCCTGCTGTACAGCAAATTACTATTTCATGGAAGGATGTGAGAAAATCTGTTTACTTGCTCCATGTTCCTAAGAAAGAGACATGGGAAAACAWAATTTTAAATTTATAAAGATAATAACATAAATAAATGCTTTTATCWTCCTCCAGGAAATTTACACGCAGTCCAGTGATTAAAATATCCTTCATCTGGAAAATAYTCCGTCAGTTACTCAAGGAGAGAGGGGACCACATGTTGCTGCATTAATTATAAAGTCAGAGCAGATTATCATGCATTAAAAAGGAGCTGCTACAGGGAGTTATAAATAACATCTCCTCCTATTAGCTTAAAAAAAAAACTACAGCTGCTGAAAATTCCCATTTGTCCAGTACAAACTGTGCTTCAATGAAGTATGTCGAGAAAGAGGACTTACCAAGCAAGGCAGTTCCCTGTTTCAGTTAACAAAGAGACAAAAAACTTTACAGGCAAAACAGAATATCTCCAGGTAAATTTGATGTATATTCAAACAAAATTATGTTATTCGGAAATTTGACAGTAATTTCCAACAATCCCATAAATGTGGTAACAATAGAAATCATTATAACATTTTGAAGATTATGAAACAGACTTAAAAAGTTTATTATAAAAACAAAAATAACCCCTTTGTAAATACTTCAAGCATTAACAAATGAGTATGTACAGAACCAAACACTAAAACACTTCTGTGGTCTCTCAGATCAGTGAACTGTAACCAGAAATCTTAAAGGAAATCAGTAATCTCTGGGAGAACCCTGTCACATACTCCAATTAAAAACTTTTCTTCTAACACCTTTCATGCCTATTGGCTGATGTTTATCACGCTAATCTCTAGTGGTGTATACACATCACTAGGTGAACTCACAGTCAAATAAACAGAGACTGTTTCTATATTGGCAAGTAGAACATACTGATAGGAGTGGATATGAACAGCAAAGCTACCGAACATTGAGATCTTGATACACTTATGTGCATTTCAGGTAGGACCTACTTCAGATTACCTTTAGGAAAGTAATGTGGATAGAGCACACTAGGTATGCACCAGGTACCTCTGCATTAGTATTCTAGTTAGGATCAACAGCTCACTTTTGAAGGGAATCCTCTGATCGCTCCTACTTATCATGCAGGGTCTTGGAGCGTGCATAATGGRTTCCTTTTGAAGGAAACCAAATCCACAGTAACATCCCTAGAATACCCAATGTATTTGAACTCCAGCTGTCACTGCATCCACAGTGACAAAAGCTGGTCTGGACTGCTACAACAGGAGTGTACATGACAGATCCTCAATTTTTTGTTCGGAACTTCTCTTACTTGCCAATGTAGACAACAGGCTCAGACACAGAAACAACCTGAAGTAATAAAGTCATGATGTAAGGTTAGGTGAAATATAAACATTTTACAAGTGGAGCAAGGACTGAAATATCCCAGACCATGGCAAAAATCACAAATAGGTGGTTGTGCTATAGAATGATTTGTGAAACACTTTGCAGAATACACAGAACAAAAGAGCTAGCTGGCACCTTCAGGGTTACTGCTTAACTTAGGAAAGCAAAACAAATTGGGTAAGTGGACTCAAAACAGCAGCTCACTGAGCCAACTGAGTGCTCTGGAGAGAGGAGTGGACACAGTGCAGGACCAAGACACACCCAAAACCCCTCTTTAATCTCCCAGACACCAACAAGTCTGTTCTGACTTACACCTAAGTAACATATGCAGGCACCATGAYACACCTGTGCCAAAGGGGCTGGCAGGTGTCTGCACAGCAGCTGAGTGACCTCTTTCAGAGGCAACTGCAAACATACTTGTAAGAAGGGGCCCGCAAACAGTGAGAAAATGCTACTGCAAGCACATCTGCTGTAATACCACCAGGAACTTGGTGGGACACAGAATCACAAAATCACGGATACACAGAAATGGTCAGGTTGGAAAGAACCACAGAGGATGGTCGTGTCCAAGCTTCCTGCCCAAGCAGGGTCATCCTAGAGCACATGCCACAGAATTGTGCCCAGATGGTTCTTGAGTATCTCCAGTTTAGGAGACTCAACAGCCTCTCTGAGCAATCTGTTCTGGTGCACGGTCACCCCCACAGTACAGAAGTTCTTCCTCATGTTCAGGTGGAACTTCCTGTACATCAGTTCCTGCCCATTGCCTCTAGTCCTATTGCCTGACACCACTGAGAAGAGCCTGGCTCCATCCTCTTGACATCCTTGAGACATTTACACACATTAATGAGGTCCCCTCTCAGTTGAGTCTTCAYTTTGCACTTCACTATGGCTGCCAGGCATGAGGTGTCAGCCACTGACACAGTGTGGGCCACAGTCACCTCATCCCCATAGTCCCCATGACACATGGCATCGCTTTCCCTTCTTTTTGGCAAAGGATGAGGCTTGGACAACCCACCCAGGCGCCCAGAGGTGTGAGCAGGCTGAGCCACCACGACATCGCAGCCAGAGGGGGAGCTTAAAGATCATCTGGTTCCAAGACCCTTGCCATGGGCAAGAACACTTTCCACCAGATTAAGCTGCTCAGAGCTCCATCCAGCCTGGCCTTGAACAATTCCAGGAATTGGACACTCTCAACTTCTCTGAGCAACCTGTTCCAGTGCCTCATCTCCCTCACAGAAAATAATTTCTTCCAAATACCTAATCTAAACCTACCCTCTCTCAGTTTGAAGCGATCTCCCCTTGTTCGGTCACTACATGCTCTTCTAAACATCCTCCGGTCCTTAGATGCACGTTTTAATTAGCAGTGTCTCTGCATTCCTTATTTCACATTCCCATATGGCGACGCCCTCACACAGCCAGCTGCGCATGCGCGAACCGCGCCGCTTCCCGCCCTGCGCGTTCCCTCT